TAGATGTTATCAAGAGTACTAAAACCCTTTTCAACATGAGTCTTACAACTAAGGCTAAATACTACACTGTGTGTTTTTTTTTTTTTGCCCTTTTCAGGGCGACTTTCCAATCGTTTGAGAATTTTCCGATCGGGCCGACTTTCAGCCTGATCTTGCGTCATATAGTGTACAGGGGGTAACGAGGGGCGATCTCATCCCGATCAGGAATCGTGAGGTCGTGGGCAGATTGCTCATTCGGATTCTTTTTTTTTTGTTCTTCCTCTTATACCTCATTTACACTATCCTTGAAAAACCGTGCCAAGACCGGTCCGAGCTCAGTAACTGAGATAACTTATCGTATGTAAATGGAAAGCAAACTGAACTGAACCGAGCTAGACTCAACTGGACCGCGCTAACTGCAGACCAGTTCCAGAGGTGGGCTCGGCTCGGTTTTTCCCTGGCTCGGTTCTCTGATAACAAGAGTGCATGAGCAGAACGCGTCATCTCCGTCTGGCTGCACATCCCGATTCACACTCCATTCCAGTAGTTGGCCGTAATGCCCCTCCGGAAGTTGCTTGCCAACCAACACAAAACAAAAAGAAGAACAACTATAAACAACAATCGAAATCTTCTCCACGCAACATTTTGATTTGCTTGATTCCCTCCTTCTTCGTCTTCTTCTTCTTGTGTTTTATGGCGGTTGGCAAACAGGAGCGAGGAACCGAGATAGCGGGATATGTAAAAAGGTGGTCAGAACCAAGCTTAGCCTGGTTAACTGATCCCAGCTTGGACCGGTCTCGGCATGAATCGGTTTTTCAAGGGTAGTGCAAATGGGGTATTAGATGAAAACACAGACGCTTGGCGGGGGTGCGGGTGAAATGGAGTTCTTTCTGTAAAATTGACGGACCGTAGTAGCCATGTGTTGCTCTGCCATGTCTTTGTCCAAATACGTTGCTGCTTTTCCTTTTTAGGGCTTTCAGCACAAAGTTGCACAAATTGCCAAGGCAGCGTGTTTCACTCTAGTAAGCTTCATATTTCTCTTTTACTCGTTTGGCTTCCGGATAGATGAGTCCGACGTGGTTTTTAAGGCGTACAGTGTGAGCAGGTAGATCGCATCAAAGCGTCGTGCTGCACATACATCGTGAGCTGTGAACTCGCACTGTAAGATGAAACCGCAGGGTTTCGTCATACAGTGAGGGCAGCAGGTACGTGCCACGGGTCTTTTCAATGCTAATGGTCACATCTTGATATATTCTGGGTTTAATAATGGAGAGTTTCAGCCATTTGCTACATTCTGTATTATTAAGTTTCAGGCTTCTGGATTCAGCACAGAGGTCCTGAATTGCTTTCCTCTCCCTGATAATGTTCTTACTTTGATCTCCTAAAAGGGTCAAGGAAAAGGAGCTAGGAGCTACATTTGTATTTGGATGAATTTAAGATCTTGCTGGAGGAACTCCATATCCCAAATACCCAGAGCTATTGCTGCGTGAGACACTTTTATAACCTTTACCCAGTTTGTCAACAATGTTTGACTCAGGATGACTCAGGATGCTGCATTTTGGCAGGGAGTAGATTTTATGATGCCAACATAAGTCCGAGTTTATATAACTTCCCTGGTGTACCAATTATTTTAACTCTTTCAATACAATTTTTTATCAGGCAGACATCTGTATAATAAATTTAAACAATCTATGTTAACATTTAAAGTTTTTCCTTGAATAAACTTGGTGTGTCATTATTTTCAATAAATGCATGTCGCCCCCACAGCAAAGGAAGCATTTTTGTAGTGTGTTGCACTAGACAAAATATTGTCAGGTTATGACAGTAATTTGAATAAAAAGTTAATGTATTGACTAATTACATATAGATTAACAGATACAGCATCCTTAATCGTCAGCGATTATAGAAACTAGACATTTTCTTTCCACTAAGCTTTCCCTGAATGTGCTGAGATCAAGGTACACCAACGTGATGCCCTCGGGCACCAAAGGGCCCCCAAAGACCACATGGGGTGCCCTCAGGATCTTCTGAAAACAGAAAAGCTAACCAGTCGACTAAGTTTTAAATTATATTTTATGTTGCTCCTCAAGGCAATCAACTTGTTTTCCTTAGATGTAAAACTTGATGATCTGGTTGAAATGTCTCAGTAA